GTGCCCCCCAAACACATTCTTTTAAAGACAACCAGGATGAAATGCTTATAGCATTGTTGTGTGTAATGTCAGAACAAAGACTAGCAACCTGTCAACAGGGGAGTGATAAGGTAAGTATGGTGCATCCATACAATGGAATATTATACAGCCAGTAAAACGAAAAGGGTGATATGACATACACTTGCATATAGGGATCTCATAGATGTCATTTTAAAAAAAGATTTATTTTATTTATTTTAGAGAGAGAGAACACGTGCAAGCATGAGTGGGCAGAGGGAGAGGGAGAGAAGCAGACTGCCTGCTGAGCCAGGAGCCCAATGCGGGGCTCGATACCAGGACCCCAGGATCATGACCTGAGCCAAAATCAAGAGTTGGAGGCTTAATCGACTGAGCCACCCAGGTGCCCCTCATAGATGTTGTTTTAAGTCAAAAGTGAAAGTTACGGTTAACATGCCATTTTCCTGGTGACCGCTGAGCAGAGTTTCCCTAAATTTGCTCTTTGGTCCTTGGGATACGTGTAATGGAAGTGAAATGTGATCGAGTTTGGCTAATGGAAGGCAAATTCTGAAACAGAGACACAACGAAGCAGGGATGCAAATGTGTGATGTCTGCCCACCCCGTCCTGTTGGATGCCGCCTCCTCTGCCTTGTTTCCCATGGCTCAGGAGGTTTGGGGTTGCTGGTGAGGAGGGACCATGTGAATGATTCCTCGTTTGAGAAAACGGGCAGACCAGAGGGGGCACTCACTGTCTGGGGCCCCGTTTCCTGTTCCATCTGTCGAAGAAACTCCACTCCAACAAGAGCTCAGTGGGCCCCTGATCCTACAGCTGCAGGAGACCGCATGCCCTGCTCCACGGAGGTTAGGGTCCTCTCTCCTGGCAGAGCCGCCGTGGTCCTGTCCTCCAACCCTACCTCCTTCGGGGCTGCTGTCTTACTGATGAAGCGTGGAGTATTCTCTACCCTCACTTACGTTTCCTGCAAGGGTTCTTGTACGTGGAGGCCTGTCTCCTGTTGTCTCCCAACTTACAATATTCTATAAAACCACACAAGGACCCAGGGTCTATTTATCCAGATTGATTTTTTGTTGGTGGGTTACTTTTGAAAAGCAAATGTTGTTGGAGGTCCTCCCTGTCCTTCAAGATCTGAGTAAAATCGGGAATTTCATAGGTTTATTAGCTCTAGGATAGATGGTGGAAGGAAGGCCTATGTAGTTGCCTGTTACCACAAAGGGTGACTCTGTTTGGGGCTCTTGCTCCTACCATCCTTGGGACGGTTCCTGTAGTCCTCCAGGTTTTCCATTCTAGTCACAGAATATGTGTCCACCGCAATCCTCCCCAGGACCACATTAGAAATACGAAGGCAGAGTGTCGGAGCCGCTGCCGCCAAGTCTGGATCCAACCTCGAGAGGCGCTGACGCCCACCTCCTGCCCGCCCGATGTGCACTCTCAATTCCTTTTGGTTCTAAGTCCAAAATGGCAACTCTCAAACATCAGCTGATTCAGAATCTTCTTAAGGAAGAACATACCCCCCAGAATAAGATGACAGCTGTTGGGGTTGGTTCTGTTGGCATGGCTTGTGCCAACTGTATCTTAATGAAGGACTTGGCAGATGAACTTGCTCTTGTTGATGTCATGGAAGACAAACTGAAGGGAGAGACGATGGATCTCCAGCACAGCAGCCTTTTCCTTAGAACACCAAAAATTGTCCAATGTGCCTGTATGGAGTGGAGTGAACATTGCTGGCGTCTCTCTGAAGAATCTGCACCCTGACTTAGGCATTGATGCAGTTAAGGAACAGTGGGAAGAGATTCACAAACAGGTGGTTGACAGTGCCTATGAGGTGACCAAACTGAAAGGCTGCACTTCCTGGGCCATTGGACTGTCTGTGGCAGATCTGGCAGAAGGTATGATGAAGAATCTTAGGCGGGTGCATCCAATTTCCACCATGATTAAGGGTCTCTATGGAATTAAAGATGATGTCTTCCTTAGTGTTCCTTGCATCTTGGGACAGAATGGAATTTCTGATGTTGTGAAGGTGACCCTGGCTCCTGAGGAGGAGACCCGTTTGAAGAAGAGGGCAGATACACTTTGGGGGATCCAAAAGGAGCTGCAGTTTTAAAGTTTTCTAATGTTCCACTTCACTGTCTAGACAGGACTTTAGTTGGAGTTTGTGTATATTGTCCTTATTATCTGATCTGTTACTCGAGTAATGTTAAAATGGCCTAAGAAAAAACATCTGTTTCCTGAAGTTCCAAATTGGAATGGTTCACCAAACCCTGCAGCTGTATCCTGATGCGGGATGATACTTGGCTTTGTAGCCCTAAATTGGTTAACGTAAGTTAGCTCCACCATCTCAGAGACATCACTACCAATACTGCATAGTTGTAGTTGCTCTTCACACCAGATGTGCGTTTACTGTGTGTTCTGTCAATTCTGGTTCCTTCCTCCAACACCCGACATGCCTAGTCCATCTTTTCCAGTCAGTCACATCCTGGGATCCAATGTATAAATTCAGTATTGCATGTATTGTGCATAACTGTTCTAAAGATCTTATTATATGGCCATATAATGTAAAAAGACAATGCAACCAACTATCCTAAGTGTCATACCAACTAAAATACCAAATAAATTGGTATTTGGAAAATACCAAATAAATTGGTATTTGGAAAATACCAAATTACAGTGGAAAAAAAAAAAAAGAAATACAAGGCAAAGCTTGGCACTGAGACTTGAAAGTGGTAGGATATGTAAATATGGCATCTAACTTCTCTGGACGGAAAACAGTTCCCTTGGCAGATTAGCCAAGCCAGGACTACTCATGAGACAGAGCAGACTCCGCTGAACACGCAGGACAGGAAAGGGCCTGAGACGCCCCCCACAACAGAATGCCCTCTCCTCCAGTGACTCTCTGTCTTCATTCTTACAGTCACCCACAAATACTTACTGAGCAGGTATTATGTATAAGACGTGCCAAGCTCTTCAGTGTGGCAGTGAAGGGTCCGGGGGGCTCCCTCGGCTCATGGCGGGCAGCTTGTTGTCTGGGCGTTAGACGTGTGACAGTCCTGCTGTTACCTCCCTGTAGTCCTGATAAGGACAGCGAGGGCAACAGTGGGGTCTGCCCTGGTCTTGGGGTGCCGTTCCGGATGCAAGCATTCTAACCTCCCTCTGAAAATGAGTGTATCAGAGGAAGGGGTGGTGGCAGCGCAGGAGGAATCCAAAGCAGAAGCTCAGCTTGTGCCAAGGGTGACTGGGGGAGGTCACGCGGCACTTGATAAATGAAAGGCCACCGTTCCCGGGACTCAGAACATCAGAGGAGAGGGAACATTGGAGGACAATGGACTCAGGAGGCCAAGCTACATACGGATCTGGGGCTTTCTGCTAGGACAAGCTATCGCCCCTGCCTCCCCTCTTGCTTTCATACCTCAAATCCAACGTTAGCTCATACCTCACCTTGTGCAGAATGTGATGCCTTATCACCTCCATGGCCCAGCCACTCTTGTCTCTCACCTGGATTGCTGCAAGACCCTCCGAACGAGTTTCCTGCCTCTGCCTTATCCCCTCCTCTACCCTCAACCCAGAACCCTTCCTTTCCTGGACTACGCACCGTCCATTCCACCAAACGCTCCCGGTGCTCATCTTCTGGACGGAGGCTGCTTCCTGCCATTCACGTCCCCTCTCAGAGCCCCACGGTGTCCCGCAGAGGCTCCCCTCGTTCTGTACCTCCCTGAACCATTAGCATCGCTCAGCGTGGTCCCTCTGCTGCCCCAAGAGCTGCCCCTGCACCATAGGTTGCAAGTTTTCCACTCTGATTTCTTGTCTCTGCGTCTCTCCTGGAATCCGTGTCAGTCCCGTTAAGGCCCCGCTGGACAACATGGATGCCTCAGGCTTTCCAGCGCAACATGTCCAGAGCCAGTCTGGTCCCTCCTGCTCGTCCTCGTCCCGTGTGTACTGCATCAGTTAACACAGTTCTTTTCTGCGCCATGTCCTTCCTTCCTCTCTGTCACCAGACCTGTGACCTCCACATCCTTGCGGCGCCCCCTCCAACCTTTTCCCTTCCTCACCATGATCTCCACTTTGGTCGCTGAATGGCTGTCCCTGGACTTGCCCTGTTGCCGTCAGCTCTTACTTGTGTTCCTGCCTCTGATCTCACCCATTTCCAATCCATCCCCAGTACTTTCGTTAGAAGGAACATTCTAAAATTGAAAATATGACGATGTCACTCCCCTGGAGGGCCTGATAACCTCCTCTTGCTTAGCAGCCTGAGGTCTTGAGCATAATATTTGTTTTCTTTGACAACTTCACACCATTTTCCTGCACGCTCCCCATTTGACACTTCGAGTTCATCCCTCTCTTTTGCAGTGACACTGAACTCACCATTTGTTCAGCACACCCATTCTTTTATGTCTCCTCCATGCCTTTCTGCAAACCGTACCCTTTGCTTACGAATCTCTGCCTCTCTCTTTCAGTGAACACACTCCTACTTATCCTCCGAAACCCTGCTCACATTTCCCCAGGAATCCTTTCTTACATCTCTTGTATTTATCTGCTCCACTGATTGCCTTGGATATATGCACATTATAAAATATGTGGCATTTTATTGTTTTTATTTCTTTGGGTGTTTGTTCCCCCCACATATTCATGTTTCCAATTTGTTACATTTCTCAGTGCCTAGGGAAAAAAATAGGTACTCAAAAAAATATTTTTCAAACAACAGAAGGAATTACTTGATTGAATGCTTTCCTGTGAAAGTTTATTACATTAAAAGCTGTGTGATTTTTTGAAGATTTTGTCCATCTCAGGCTAAGTCACTTTCTCTATGGTCAGGTAGAGCTGGTTTTCTTTTCTTTTGCTACTACAGAATGTCCAGACCGTCCAGATCAAATGATAGCACCCCAGCAACTCCATCCTTGGCTCTTCTCCAAAAACACCTGTGTCTGGGTCGGTGCTTTGACCCCTGGAGAGCAGGCAGGTGGACCAAGCTTTGGATTCTACGTCAACAACCTCAGTTCTGATGCAAACAGCAGACATATTTTTTTTTAAAGCAGTAGCCTACTTGTGTTTCCATATAATTACAATATTCTTGACAATAGCCTTCACTTTTCTTGCAGTCGACAACTTTGAAATCCGGTTCGGGTTCTGTATAAAGAAATATCCAACATTATTGTCTTAAGACCATCTCAAGAATCGGACGGGGGTTATTTTAGCCCAAAGGGATAGGGTGGAGGACGGCAATAAGGAGTTTGTAAATGAGCGCTCATATTTACCTGGGGCCACCCTGATAGCATAAAAACCAGATCCTTGATTCTGGCTTAAAAGTCACCTTTACTTTCCCTGAAAAAACCAGCTGCCAATTCCGAGGCAGTTGGGAAGAGAAACAGTAATAGATATGTTACAATATAAATGTTCCACTTAAGCCAATTTAGGATGCTCCATCAGGGCTCTGTGAGGCCCACTGGGTGGGCCGCCAAATACGTACATAAGTGGGAAGGTCCTCCGAGGAAGGAGGATTGGGGCTGAGCCATCTCTGTAAGGGAGATGACAGGTAGCTGAGGGCAGATTTTAAAGAGTGAAAAAGATTTCTTTTTTCCCCTCATTCTGAGGGAGCCCCTGGAAGGCTATTTGGCGCCTCAAAGATGTGCCAGTTTGCGTGAGCAATGTGAAATTGGTACCTCACTCTGCAATTCAAGTACGAAGATTATTAAACATGAATTCTTGTCTTAAATTCTATATTATGAAGACAGTTGATAGAAAAGGCAAGGAGCGAGTGTTAAAACAAAGAAAAAAATAGATGAACACAATGAAAGCAGAGACACAATATCAGAAAATGAGTGGTAAGTGCCCCTCTGGGGAAGCCTTCGGATAGACCCCAAACCAAGGCTGCGCTGGTCATCATAAGCTCTGCCACTGACCTGAGATGTGACCTTCAGACAGATTAAGTTACGTTCAGTTAGCCAGCACATAGTACATCATGAGTTTCTGATGGAGTGTTCAACAATCCATTAGTGGCTTTTAACACCCAGTGCTCATCACCACATGCGCCCTCATTAATGCCCATCACCCAGCTACCCCATCCCCCCATCCCCTAAATTTGTTGTCCTGAATCGGAGGAGTTATTTTAAATCTCCTCAACTCCCTCGTGAATCAAATGGGAATAATAACCCTGTCTCAGAGATTTGCTATTAGAATAAATGACACATGCCTCGTATTGTTTATATTTGTTGTACAATCACGGTATTTTCTTTTTTTCTTCCCTTGGGAGGAGAACCCAGACTAGTGAGTCCTTGGGAACCGAGGGCCACCTCCAAAGGGATCAAAGTGAAGAGAGGACAACGGGAGGAATAATATGGCAGGATTTGAATTCCTGGCTTCCCTTTGCCAACGCCCTCGTGTGTATTGCCTGCTCTTGCCCACTGAGCGCCCAGCCTCTTGTTCCTTGTTTCAGGGTCAGGAATGAGTTTGGAATTAAGGAAACACCTTGGAATGACTGTCTTCTCTAGGTCCTTATGGATTGGAAGCTGGCTCCCCATGGGTGTTCAGGACCAACCAGAAAAGTGGCTGAGGGCATCTTGGTTTTGTCATCCCAGTGGCCTGTCCTCTGCACCTGTACCTGGGGCATTCCCTGCATGGTAACTGCTCATCTGGCATTTAGCAAGTATTCATCAAATTCTTGAAGGCCCAGGGAGTGGGGCTCCAACCTGGCAGGAGGAGGGTGCCTTGCTCAATATCATCTCCTCTGGCTCTCCGGGGAGGCTGAAGTCAGGGGTTATAGAAGTGCCTTGAATACTTTTGCCTCTTTGTCCATCACACTCCCAAGGCTCATAGGACCCTCAGTCCTCTGTCAGACCCCATGACCTTTTTGACAGGTGGGGCAGCCTGAGCCGTCTACCTACCGTCTTCATAAACACAGCCCATCCTTAACTCAACCACTGTTTGGCCTTCCCCCACCTGCACAGACACCTTCCCATCTATTCATTCACTAAACATTTCCAGAGTGGAGGGACTTGTCACAACTTTTTTTTTTTTTTACTTACCCGGGTAAGGGGGAGTGCGTGGTAAGAGGTAGCGTTTTTCTTGGTGGTGTAGCAAGGGAGACCCGTTTTTGCCTTGTGCAGAAGACTCTTCCCTGGATTGTCTCGGTCCTCTCAGACCCTCAGTGCCTTGGCGGTTAACACTTCCGGCTCTGGATGGTCCTATTTCACAATAAATACACAGCAAAGCATTTTCAGAGTTCTCTCTCGAGCAGACCCATGAGGATTCCGTGCATCACTCTAGGGGGCGAGTGAAAGCAGAGGGTCGAGAGGATACGGGGTTGCTGCTCAGTGGGTATAAGATTTCAGTCCTGCAACATGGCTGCATTCCAGAGATGTGCTGTAAAACACGGTGCCTACACGCAACAGTGTGGTGTTGTGAACTTTAAGGTTTGTTAAGAGGGTAGATCTTTTGCTAAGTGTTCTTATCACACACACACACAAAATACCACCACAAAAGGACACAGGGAAACTTTGGGCGGTGTTGTGTGTGGCTATGCCCTGTAGCGATGGTACCATGGTTGTTTGCAAACATCCAGACTCATCACATTGTCATTTTTTGTGTAATAATTATACCCCCCTAAAGCTGTAAGGAAAAAGAACAAGTGAAGAATGGGACGGAATGGGTTGGAAGGGGGGCAAATGTTATTTGTGTTTGTGGGGGGGGGAGGAGGGCGAGGGAGACGGAGGGAGGTGAGTGATGACCAAGAAGGGTGGGCAGTGGAGCCTGAGTACTTCAATGGAAGCCAAGCTGAGCATCCCCTAGGGTGTCAATATAGTTGTTGAGACTCCCTAACATTCAAGGTCCTTTGTAATGCAGGCTGTCCTCCTTTATAAGGAGTAGATGAATATTAACAGGATAAGAAAGTGTAGTCTGGGTTGGGACCTGTCTTCTGGGGAACCAGTGCCATCAGCATATTCAAAGTGTCCCTTACAAACCCAGCCCAGAGACTCCTGCCCCAAAACCCCACCAGGAAATGCACTTGCGGGGCCTAGTATCTCCCTGCCCAGCCTGGACGCCCAGCCTGGACATGGCCATTGTGGAGAGACCCTGGCCCCAGTACCGGGCCACATTTCTGATTTACCTGGACACATCAGGGTCACCAGGAGAAGGCTGACGAACGGAGAGAGGGACGGCTTCATGTCGCAGAGGGGGCTGCCAACTGAGACAGTGCTGGCGGGCAGACAGCAGGGCTCCCTTTATAGCCCTGAGCTGCGGGGAGGGGGGCCTGCAGCAGAGGAGGAGAGACATTCCAGAATAATCTCTGGGTCACAGACGACACACGCAGACACAGTATTCTCCCACCACTAGCTAGCGGAACAAACATTTCAGCCATTTTCCTCAGGAAGTAAGTATCATGCCTGAATGCCCTGGGTGGGTTTGGTGAATAAGAAACGACAGGGCAAGAGAAGAGGAGCAGAAACAGGGAAGAGAGGGCGCAAAACAGGCATCATTAACCAAAAAAGCACCGTTCCCTCAAGTGCTTGTTGGACCGCTGCTAGGCGCTGACATGGCGACCTAAGGCGGGCCGCCAGAGCACTTCTGTCCTGTCCTCTGGACGTATTTATTTTGGTGTAAAATATCATGCAGGAAGACATCGAACATGTCGGGGACGACCTGACTCACACAACTGTCATTTCCTGAAGTTCCAGTGTCACTCCGGATGTCATTTCTGTTCTTTCTCCCCGCTAACCTCTCCCCCTGTTTCACAGCCTCCTCTGCTTCTCTTTCATCTCTTTTTAATCCTCCCTTTTTGATTTTAATTAATCTAACTGGTCTTCATGTTCCTCTCAGATGCCTGGCTATTCCTGCCATTGGGTCCAAATCAATTATGCTTAAAAAAATACCTGTAATTGATGCAGAGTTTTCTCTTCTGGTAATAACTAAGCAAAAGGTTCTTCTCCTTCCTCCTCCTCCTTGTCTTTTTCTTCTTCTTCTTTTTAAAAATTATATTTATTTATTTGACACAGAGAGAGCGAGGGCAGAGAGAGAGAGAGAGAGCATAAGTAGGCAGAGCGGCAGCAGAGGGAGAGGGAGAAGCAGGCTCCCCGCGGAGCAGGGAGCCCGATGCGGGGCTCGAATCCAGGACCCTGGGACCATGACCTGAGCCGAAGGCAGACGCTTAACGACTGGGCCACCCAGGCGCCCTCCATCTTCTTCTTCTTGCAGGGTTGAGTTTTATGTCACTGCATTATCTCAGGCACGCATACCCCAGGCAGTCTGTCCTGGATGCGACCAGAGAAATGTGGGCTTTGGTTCAAGAGTGTTATAACTGTCTAAAATTCAATATGGCCTCAGAGGTGTTGGAAAGCGTAGTGCTTGTCACATGTGTCTCATTTGCAGGCACAGTTTGGTCCAAAGAAAATGTCTAAGATCATTTGTGTAAATGAAAATAATTATATTCTACCTGGAGGGAGGTGGAAACAGATGAAGAAGGCAGCAGCGGCCCCAGCAGGGGCTTGGGCATCCAGGAAGCAACAGTGAAGTAGAGAAGGTTTGGAGCCACCAACAGGTGTGCCCAGGGCCCCAGGGTCATCACACTGTAGCCTCTCCACCAGGTCTGGGAGCAAATTCAATATTGTGGAGCAAGGAGGTGCCAGCATAAGATCATTCTTGATTTCTAGGCATTAGGAAATCTTCCATTCAAAGAGGGAATTGGAGATACTGGTAGAGATGGGAGGCAATGGGTCCCTGACAAGGGTTGCTAATCACTAAGGCCACCAGATGCTGACAACTGGATGCTGGAAAAAAACAAATGGTCAAGGCGGGGGGGAGTTGCTGAGACCCTAACTCCAAATAAAGACGTTCTTATCCCCACCCCTGTAAGCCATGTTACTTTTATATTCTAGTCCAAAAGCTGTGCTTACAGTTGTGTTTATATTTATTTCTAGGAATCGGGATCAAGGTAGAAACCATCCTGAGGGTCTGGGATTCTAGCACACCATGCCTTGCTGCCTCAGATTTGAACCCAAGGTGTGGGGGTGATGCCTGGTCCTGCCTAACAGCCTGACCTACTGGGAAAGGCACTTGCCTCTGCACCTTCATTTCCACACCTAAAAAAGGTCAGGGTGATGCCTCTTGTCTCACAAGCTTATTGTGAGGATCAAAAGAGATTGTGCATGTGAGAGTACCTTGTAAAATACACAATGTGAGAATCGTGAAGGGGGACACCAACGTAGGACAAGACACAACTTAAAATCAACGTTAGGTTGTCCTAAAGCAAGTTCCGTATCCTGGCATCTGGGCTGTTGCCTCCTCGGGGGGCTGCTTCACAGGCTCCCCTCTCCCCTGTAACCGCTGCAGTGCAATCAAAGTCTCACATTTGCATTGGATTTTCAACACAGTATTTTGCAGGTGGAACAGCAAGTGTGCGATACCACCCACAAAAGAGGCCTCAGAGGCAGACGATCAAACTCGGTGTATGGATGGACCTTTTAGGACCCTGAGTCTATGAAACCAGTTCTGACAAAAGCACTTATGAAACAACCAAGATCATTTGAACACTGATCGACTCTTTGATTATAATAAGGGATTTGTTTTGATTTTTTTCTAGGTATGGTCATAGCACTGTGGTTTTAT